GGCTAAAATGAGCCACCTCTCTGGGTTTCCTTGCAGGTTGCAGGAAGTGAAAGGCATGGCTGACCGCATCATTAGCATGCGCACCCAACTGGTGTCCAACCTCAAGAAGGAGGGCTCACACCACAACTGGCAACACATCACCGACCAGATTGGCATGTTCTGTTTCACTGGCCTAAAACCTGAGCAGGTGAGTTGATCATCCCACAGATGACCAGTCCTTAGGAGGCAGAAGAATTCCTCCTATGCTACCTGCTTCTTTGGGATTTTCCCTGAAAACATTTCTTTTGGAGCCTTTCATGTTGTTTGTCTGGGTTTTTTTTAATTGTCCATGGGGCTTGAACTCAGGGCTTGGGCACTGCCCCTGAACTCTTCAGCTCAAGGCTAGTGCTCTACCACTTGAGCCACAGCACCACTTCTGGTTTTCTGGTGGTTTAGTGGAGGTAAGAGTCTCACGGACTTTCCTGCCAGGGCTGGCTTTGAACCATGATGCTCAGATCTCAGCCTCCTGAGTAACTAGGATTACAGGCGTGAGCCACTGGTGCCCAGCTCAGAGATACTTTTTTCCTCACCTGTTCATGCCTCAGAACCCATCATCCTACTTGAGAATAGGTTTCAAATCTTTTATTATAAGCTGCCACACTGAATTATGGGATTAAGGCTCTAGTAAGAAGATGGAGCCTTCTGTTCTTATTCTATCTGAACAACTTGCCCTGCTAGGGCTGACAAATTTCCACCCATAAGTCTCCAAGCTCTTTCTCTCTGCAGGTGGAGCGGCTGACCAAGGAGTTCTCCATCTACATGACGAAGGACGGCCGCATCTCTGTGGCTGGAGTCACCTCCAACAATGTGGGCTACCTTGCCCATGCCATTCACCAGGTCACCAAGTAAACCCATGGGGTGCAGAGACAACCTTCCTGAACAGAGACAACCTTCAGCCTCTGCTGTTGCGAGACTCCCATGAGGATGAGGGGTGGGGGGTAGTGAATAGGTCCTTTCTTCCAACCAGTGCAGAACACTCAGTGACTGAGTTTGCTCAGCCAAGAACAGGTCATGAGATAGGGCAGGGGCATCCATGTTTGGCGTCTGGGATTTTGTGGCTCTCAACCAAACTCTTCCTTCCCCGCCCCCTCCCCCCCATCCTTTTGCCTCTAGCTTTTCTGAAAGAGTTTACATGTACATGAAAGTCAAAGCACCAAAAAGAATAACCAAAACAAACAAACAAAAACGGTCAGTCTTGAAACTGCAATATTTCACAAGCTTTAACTGAGGCATTGTATGGTGTTAGGATCCAGCCAAGACTTAGCTCATATTAGAAGCTGAGAAAGACCTATTTCTGTCATTAGCAGTTTTGTCCTCATGTTTGTCCTTATCAACACCCCAGTTCAGGAATTGTGCTTTCCAAAAACCAATGAGTCTGTGGCTACTGCAGCAGGGAAAATAATAGATGCCATTTCCTGTCTTGTTTTTTTTTTTAAAGCTTTCTTTTTGTCATTGCTAGTTTTTATTATTATTATTTAAGGGTGAAAAAAATCAGAAGAAAACCAGCCTAGATTTTCATCCCACTCTGCTACTTGATTGATCGACCATCATTCTCATTCTACCAGAATTTAAGAATGAAGAACATGATTGTCTCTCCACATCAAACACTCTTCCTTTCTTAGCAGAGAATAGTGGGAGAGTAGGTACTATACTTTACTTTGGCATCCTCACCAGCGATTTGTAGGATCTCCTGTTGGGATAGGGCCTCTGCCCAGCTCAGCCTCTTCCTTCAGCTGGCCTGCCAATGCTCATCCCACACCTTGAGTAATAGGAGGCAGCGCAGAGGAGGATCAGAAAGAAGACAACCTTAGTTGTGATTGCTGCCCACAGGCTCAGACTCCGCCTTTTGGAAAAATAACCACCATCTGCTCTAATCTAGACCTATTGCAGCCTGGTTTCTCTGTTACAATAAAATTATGGTAGACTCAACTGCTGTCCACTTTTCTCTTAAATGGGGAGCGGAGGAGTAAGACTGAATAAGTATTCCCAAAGTCTAGAATCATATCCAGCTAACCATAAGCCAAAAGAAGTGTTAGCTGCTCCAAGTGCTGACTGCAAATCATCCAGCCATTCAGCTTGTCCAAAGATGTCAAGGTTGGAAGTGGTATTGTAGCTCAAGTGGTAGAGCGCTTGCCTTGAGCTGAAGAGCTGAGGGACAGCGCCCAGGCCCAGAGTTCAAGCCCCACAACCGACCAAAAAAAAAAAAAACATGTCAAGGTTGAAGGTATAATCCCTAGGTCCCCAGAAGACAAATGGAGGCCTGTGAAAGGATCCTGTGGATATGGACAATGGGTGGGAGGGTGAAGGGAAGGGGCAGCTTTCAGCATCTAGAGCCAAGTTGATAGGGTGAATAAAAAGTGACATGAGGGGCTAGGAATGTGGCTTAGTGGTGGAGTGCTTGCCTAGAATGCATGAAGACCCGGGTTCAATTCCTCAGCACCACATAAACAGAAAAAGCCAGAAGTGGCACTGTGGCT